GATCCTGGGTGTGCACCGACGCACCGCTCCTCCGGCCATGCTGAGGCCGCATCCCACATACAGCAACTAGAAGGATGTGCAACTATGACGTACAACTATCTACTGGGGCTTTGGGGAAAAAATAAATAAATAAAATCTTTAAAAAATAAATAAAGAGAATTTTTCTTGAAAATAGGAGTCCAGGGGACAGGAAATCTGCTTTTCACTTGACATTTGGGACCTAACTTACTTTATTTACTTAAAAAATTTTCCAACGAAAAGAAATTCTACAGACTATTGGTTAAAAGCCACAAACTCTTATCTCATTGGTACATGTTGATCTGTTTGGTTTATGGATTCACAGAGAATATTTAAGGGCGTTCACACTAATGAGAGTTACTACAGTCAGCTGACAGGAAGGAGGACTTGTGAGGTGGAGTGAGGCCAAGCCTTAGGAAATTCCAGCAAGTCTTAAAGTGTCTTTTCTCTGTTCTCTTAACAGATTTTGATCATTAAGGCTCCCTCAGGCGTCTGAGTAAAAAGAGCTGAAATGTGATAAAAATATGTTACAGAAGAGAATTTCAGTATCAGAATTTCTGTTTTTTTTCTTTCTGTGCTCCTCTACTTCCTTGAGAAACGTTGGAGGAAACCCCTCCTTCTTCCTGTACCTCTGATTACCACTTGTAAAATGAGGATCATAAAATTCATTGGAAATGCATTGGAGATCTTTGTTATTCTTTTTTTTCTATGAGGAAGATCAGCCCTGAGCTAACATCCACTTTATGTGGGATGCCGCCACAGCATGGCCTGACAAGCAGTGCATCGGTGCGCGCCCGGGATCCGAACCCAGGCTGCCAGCAGCAGAGCGGGCGCACTTAACTGCTACTCCACAGGGCCAGCCCCAAGATCTTTGTTATTCTTAATGTTTGAGTGCTTTGGAGTATTGAAACGTATTGAAAGAAATGCTTATTGCTTCACCTTGTTAAAAGCCGTCTCATCTCAGAGCTATATTCCTCCTCAGAACCAGTGTCAGTATAACTTTGATTTCCAGAAACATTTCTGTTTTTCTCTAAGACCAAAAGGCTTTGCACTTTCACTTTTTTAGCACTTCAAAGAAAATAGTTCAGAATATTGATACCCTCATGAACTAGAAGGCTTTAAAAAAAAAAGGCTCTTACTTTATTTATTCCAAAGGTTTAAATAAAAAGCAAGGGTGGGGGGCCGGCCCCGTGGCTTGGCGGTTGGGTGCGCGCGCTCCGCTGCCGGCGGCCCGGGTTTGGGGCCCGGGTGCGCACCGACGCGCTCCTCCTTCCGCCACGCTGGGGCCGTGTCCCGCGTGCAGCAGCTGGAAGGATGTGCAGCTGTGGCAGGCAACTATCTACTGGGACTTTGGGGGAAAAAGAAATAAATAAGATCTTTAAAAAAAAAAAAAAAAAGCAAGGGTGGGGAATTTTATGCATCTAAAACCAAAGAAAGGGGCCGGCCCCGTGGCTTAGCGGTTAAGTGTGCGTGCTCCACTACTGGCGGCCCGGATTTGGATGCCCGGCGTGCACCGACGCACTGCTTCTCTGGCCATGCTGAGGCCACGTCCCACATACAGCAACTAGAAGGATGTGCAGCTATGACATACAACTATCTACTGGGGCTTTGGGGGTAAAAATAAATAAATAAATAAAATCTTTAAAAAAATAAATAAATAAATAGAATAAAACCAAAGAAAGCCTCTGCCCTGGCAGGGCCTATCTTCTGGTTCTAAATTATCTTGCTCCTGATAACACCACTGCAGGGACCTCACATGTGCCTACAAGTACAGACAGAAAACTGAACTCTGCAGATTGTGACAGGCAGAACCTGTTCCCTTTTGGTTAAAAAAAAAAAAAAGTGTATTTCTAGGCTTTCTTCCTTTTTGAGCCCCTAAAATTCTAATTTTTATAGTTATCATCTTACAGTGCAGCAGCATTGGGAATAAATCTTTGGAATTTCCTTTACTTTAGTGATCAGCAAATGAGAAATGTTTTGAAAACAAAAAATGTGGATGGAAGGTATCCTGCCAAACTTATCATTTCGCTTTGGCTGATGATCTTTATTTCCAAGTAGGGGGCTGCTCCCGTAGCAAGAATATGTTGCATCAAGTGAGTCATGTGGTTGTGGCTGATGTTGGTGCAGCTGACTTGAGCATGATGTGGCAAGATTAGAGTTGCTACAGCTTATTTTGGTTTTTATTAAAAACAGACCCAATTAATAATGTAAATAGCAAAGCTGACTGTGGATAAATTATATTAAATGTATTTTGAATTTGTGAGAAACTGTATTCTTATTTGTATGGTACAAGCAAACCAGTCCTTGGCTCTGATTTCTGAAGTGGCATGTTTTCTATCTCCAAGGAGGGGAAAAACTTGAAAAAGTGGTAGTTCACCGTCTTAAATTTTACTGTTGAGTTGATTAGTCCATTGAACTTAAAGGTTTAATAACTGTTTACTAATTTTTTTTTTTTTTTTTGAGGAAGATCAGCCCTGAGCTAACATCCATGCTAATCCTCCTCTTTTTGCTGAGGAAGACCTGCTCTGAGCTAACATCTATTGCCAATCCTCCTCCTTTTTTTCCCCAAAGCCCCAGGAGATAGTTGTATGTCATAGTTGCACATCCTTCTAGTTGCTGTATGTGGGACGCGGCCTCAGCATGGCCGGAGAAGTGGTGCATCGGTGTGCGCCCGGGATCCGAACCCGGGCCACCAGTAGCGGAGCACGCGCACTTAACTGCTATGCCACGGGGCCGGCCCACTAATGTTGAATTCAAAAGAGTGCTAAATGTTTTACTCATCTCCTGTCATACTGGATTTCAGGCATCTTTCCTACTTCAAGTTATATGGAAATAGAGATTTGAATAATAGGGTCTGGTTGAAGGCTCTCATTGCAAGCTGAGTAAACGTGACAAACTCTGTGTACTATGTCTGGGAACATTCTGTGACACTAAGTAGCTTTCTTTTGAGTTACTTTTCCAGTCTTAAAAATTATAATTTTGTAACTTAGAGATCTACCCTAGATATGAGAGAGATAAATGTAGCAATTTACAGAAATCACAAAATACTTTATTCAAAAAATCTGTAGGGTCTACTTTTCTATTAAAAAAAAAAAAAAGGTTCTGCCTTCGGCAAGCTTCCAGTCCAGTAGAGGGACCCACAACAATTTGATAAACATTATAATGGAAGTGTGACTAGGTACCTTGGGAACAGAGGCAGGACTACTCAGATTTATGTAGGAGAGGTAGGGCTGACTTCGCAGAGGGAATGTTTCGTAGCTTACACTGAGTCTTGAAGAAATAGGTGTTTGCTGGACAACAGAAAGATAAAAGGGTAATCCAAGTACAGGGAACTCATTTACAATATCATGGACCTCACTTTTGCTTTTCCCGAGGGTAAAGGGTGAGGAAGAGAATACCCGGAGAGGATAGGTGGGGATCAGATCTAGAACTGGTCTTCTCTAACATCTAAACACTTGAGATTTAATTCAAGGAGTGATTAGGAATCCTTAAAGAATTTTGAACAAGAAAGTAACATATATTTATATTTTGGGCTAATTACTTTTTTTTTGCCATTTGCTCTTACTTTAATGTCCCAAAGATCCTGTTTGTTCATGATTGTATACATTAATAAAATGTGTACATGTGTGTGTGTATATATATATATATATATATATTTTTTTTTTTGGTAAGGAAGATTGGCCCTGAGCTAACATCCCTGCCAATCTTCCTCTATTTTGTATATCGGATGCTGCCACAGCACAGGTTGATGAGCGGTGTGTAGGTCTGTGCGTGGGATCCGAACCTGCAAACCCCAGGCCACCGAAGCAGAGCATGCAAACTTAACAACTATGCCACAGGGCTGGCCCCAATAAAATGTGTATTTTTTAATAAGAAAATAGAGGGCAATGCACAAATTTGCATTTTTCAGAATTATTGTGTTTGTAGGCCACAAAGCAGTAGCAGTAAAAATAAATAGCAAGTAAGTCTGTGGTGAAGTTTCGTGTTTTATGCATTCCAACCATTAGTAATAAAAAACATTTCAATCAACCATATTAGAGGAAAGACTGTATCATATTTCTGTTCTCTCTATAGAAAATGATACTACAGAATTGTTGTCATATGTAGAATGGATCAAAGAATATGCAGCTAAAAATGAAGGAAAGGGGGGCTGGCCTGGTGGTGGAGCTGTTAAGTGCGTGTGCTCCACTTTGGTGTCCCGGGGTTTGCAGGTTCGGATCCCTGGCGCGCACCGAACCGCTGCTTGTCAAGCCATGCTGTGGCAGCGTCCCATGTAAAGTAGAGGAAGATGGGCGCGGATGTTAGTCCAGGGCCAGTCTTCCTCAGCAAAAAGAGGAGGATTGGCGACGGATGTTAGCTCAGGGCTGATCTTCCTCACCGGGAAAAAAAAAAAATGAAGGAAAGGTATTATCTCGGTGCCTTTGACATGATTAATAACAGTAGTGCTATTTTTTGGGATACTTTGTATTACTTGGGGTGATGGCAGCATTATAGAGACCTGATTGGAAGGTGTAGAAGAACCAGTTAGAAAGGTAATTTGATAGTCCAGGGAAAAGATGATGAAGCTGTGAACGAAGGCAGCCTCAGCAGGGATAAAGTGGGACGGAGAAGGGAAACAGCAGATACTGCCATCAGGACTTGGCAGTTTGGGAACATGTCATTGTCATTGAGGACATGAGGATTCCTCGCCAATCACTTTTTAAATTACAAGGCTTTCTGGTTAAGTTGGTTAGGCAGTGATCATTAGCAGAGAGCATTGCCTATATAGAGTTACTTATTTTTCCCTGGACACCTGTGAATATGTAGTGCTTGATATTTATAATACTAAAAACACATTCTGTGGAATATAAAAACTAATATAAAATCTAATCTCTTCTGGATTTTATTTATAAAGGAGATTTGCAGGCCTCCTTTTTGAACGTTGCATCAAGGTTTCCCATCTTGTATGCAAAGCTTATTGCTGGGTTTTGTTTTCCAAACAGGTTCTTGGGGCCAAAAGCCGAAGTGCAGGTGCAAGGAGGATCTCTGAAAACAGCTATTCTCTGGATGATTTGGAAGTAGGTGCAGGTAAGCAGAGAGTTCTGTGTGTGTGAAGTTCTCTAGAAAGTACTCATTAGTAGCGATACCTTTTGGCCTCAAAGCCAATGCTTTTAAAGGAAGAGTGGCACAAATTAAAAGGTCTGTTAGATACAAGCCATTCCCAAATCTCATTGCTCTCTACAAATAGCTTCTATATATTTTTAATCCATCCTTGTCAATGGTAACCTGTGGTAACCAAAGGTTACCTTTGTGGGATTACAAGGGAATTACTACCAACAGTTTTGGCTCCTTGGTCATCTGGGGCTTGAGGGATCTCATAGATGGGCAATAACCCCTGTCAAGATTGGTTATCCTGTGTTAGCAGTGGTAACATAACACCTTGAGAGCAGAATTACTGTATTTTGAAGGGGGCATATACAGGCACCTCACAAAAGAAAAAATAAAATTAATGAACAGAGGAAAATCAACAGCTTCCTAGTAATCAAAGAAATGCAAATTAAAATGGCATTGAGGGGGCTGGCCCGGTGGCATAGCAGTTAGGTTCCCGTGCATCGCTTAGCCGGCAGCCCAGAGTTCACAGGTTCGAATCCCAGGTATGGACTTACACACTGCTCATCAAGCCATGCTGTGGCGGCGACCCATATAAAGTAGAGGAAGATGGGCATGGATGTTAGCTCAGGGCTAATCTTCCTTCCACACATACACACAAAAAGGCATTGAGATCGAATTTTTTTCATATGTTATATAAGCCAAAAATTTTAAATATATAATACTCAATTATGGTAAGGGTTCTCTTTTTAATGTTGAGAAAGTGAATGAATATTACCTTATAAATAACAGTGATATTCCTGATTTCCTTCTTTGTAGTTTTTTTTTTGTGTGTGAGGAAGATCAGCCCTGAGCTAACGTCTGATGCCAATTCTCCTCTGTTTTTTTGCTGAGGAAGACTGGCCCTGGGCTAACATCCGTGCCCATCTTCCTCTACTTTATTTTATTTTTTTTAATTTTTTTTTAAATTTTTATTTATTTATTTTTCCCCCAAAGCCCCAGTAGATAGTTGTATGTCATAGTTGCACATCCTTCTAGTTGCTGTATGTGGGACGCGGCCTCAGCATGGCTGGAGAAGCGGTGCGTCGGTGCGTGCCCAGGATGCGAACCCGGGCCGCCGGCAGCGGGAACGCGTGCACTTAACCACTAAGCCACAGGGCCGGCCCTATCTTCCTCTACTTTATATGGGATGCCACCACAGCATGGCTTGACAAGCAGTGTGTTGGTGCGTGCCTGGGATCGGAACCTGGGAACCCCAGGCCGCCAAAGCGGAGCGCGTGCACTTAACCGCTGCACCACTGGGCCGGCCCCTTCTTTGTAGTTTTAATAGAAGAAATTGATTACGTTAGATTACAGTAGCCCAAAATGTAGAATCTTGAAACCATTCAAATCACGTTTTATCTTCTAATAAGGCACGTTGTTTGCACGCTCCCAGGTCAGTTGTCGTCTTCTGCATTCAACTCGGAGAAAAACGAGAGCAGGCGAAATCTGGAGTTCCCACGCCTGTCAGAAACCTCCATAAAGGATCGAATGGCCAAGTACCAGGCAGCGGTGTCCAAACAAAGCAGTTCCACCAACTATACAGTATGTGTTCTGCATCATTTGTTCATTCACTCATCCAGCAAATGATCACTGAGCATGGAACTAGAAATGTCTCCCAGACCCTGACCTGTGAGCCCTGGCTCCTTCCCTGGTCCCCAGCCATTCTCTTTTCCTATAAATTCTACCCTAGCTTCATTCATAATTCTTACCATGTTCTAATCCTGACTTTGCTTTCCTCATTCCCACCCCACTCATTTTTTTGTGATGTTACTATCCAGTAATGTCATTGAGAGTTTTCCTGTCTCTTCTACTTTATCTTATTGTTATTAAAGAAGTGGGATTTTGCTTGTTTTAACAGAAACATTATTTTATTTTTGTTTTTGAAGGAAGAAAGGGAGAATACTGGAAAGAAATATCAGATATATTCAACATTAATGTGGGGTGGGGGTTTTTAGTTATTTTTTATTGATGTATAATTCACATGACACAAGATCACCATTTTAAAGTATACAATTCAGTGATTTTTAGTATATTCACAAGGTTGTACAACCATCACCACTGTCTAATTCCAGAACATTTCTGTCGTGAAAAAGAAACCCCATACCTGTGCAGTCACTCCCAATTCCCGCCTCCCCTCATCCCCTGGTAACCACTTTCCATCTTGATGGATTTGCCTATTCTGGGTATTTCATATAAATGAAATCATAGACTATATGGTCTACTTAATCTTTACTCCTTATGATATAATGATTTTCTAAAGAAATAGAATAGTGGATAAAAAAAGGGGGGAGAAGTGACAGGAAGATGATGTGCTCACTAAGCACGAAAATTTGGTGTTCTAAATAGAATAGAGGGTCTTTCCATTCTATTGTATAAAACTTTCCTAGGGTTAACTGGCAGACTGATACTACAGAACTGCTTAATTGAAGTTACATTTTAAATGCCCTTTATTCATACGTACACATGCCTATATACACGTGTACACATAAATATGTATGTATCTTTCAAACATTTGTTCATTCTAACATTTCAGATCACAAACCATTAATCTCTTGATGTCCCATTTTTTCACAAAGTTGGAAGAATAGTATTGAATGTTATTTGTTCCCAGACATACTGAAACTGATGCCGATTAGAAATCATAACGTGTATCCCAGGAGTTGATCCTTCTTTTCCCCACATTATTAAGTGTGCATTCTCCAGTAATATTTATTGGTGGGCTAAGTCTCTGAGCAATGAATAATTTCATCTTGATTTTTCACTGTAGTTTTAAGAAGAGATGGTGTGTGTAAATCAATAGCTAAGTGGAACATCACAGGCTCATTATTCACTGTGGGTATGAAAAATGAGCAAATTTAGACTTCTCGTGGAAGGCAGGATAGGAGATAGAGCAAATAGGTGATCTGTGGAGCTTAATTCCTTCTTGTTACAGGATTTTGCTGCTTCTCGGAGCCTTCCTGCTGTAAACATTCTGACCAGGTGACTCCCTAAGTGGAAAAACCTGTTCAGCCACTTTTTTTTTTTTTTTAAACTCCTAATAGAGTTTCTGCCTTGCAGTTCTCCTGCTCTGTAAATTTTAAGAGTTGAAAAGTCTTTAGGAATTCTTGTAAAAAGTATATTTTATCTCATCCCAAAAGAATTTCTCAGGCCCCTTAGAGAGGGTGGTTGTAACAAGGCCCACACTCTCTGGCAGTGATTCTGGAGGCTGGGGTTTGAGATGGGGGTCAGGAATGAGTTGTTGGGCTGTACTGTTGTGTTCTGCAGTGCTGGCTGCCAGGTGGATGAACCTCCAGAGCTGTGTGCCTTAATCTGGAATTCCACACCTGAGTAATAAATCAGTCACACTCATACACTCTTCATTGACCCTGTGGCCATAAATTGCTTGTTTCTTCCCCATGCCTAAAGAATCACAGAGAACAGAAAGGTACTAGATTACTAGCAGACTAAAGGTAGGAAATGTCCATATTCATCTACCTCTGTCTTGACTTTGGATCTAGTAGATAAAGTTAATTTTAATATTTGACCCCAAGTGTTCTTTGCAAGGAAAAGAATGTGATTATACTTACTCCTTATGATAGCATTAATGCCTGCTTTGTTATGTTGAAGCTCTGTTATGAGAAGTAGAATAAGGTATGTCTTTAGTGCAATGTATGAATTTTATGCGAAAACCATGTTTTTGAATGTCTCGCAAAAAAGGTTGTTTTATGGTATCATTAAATATAATTTCAGTTTTTATATGTATACATCATCCCTGTCTCTCTTTCCAGGCCGGGCATTTATATATATGGTCAGTATATTTTCTTAATTATTGGCACTTGGCATCTCCTTTCCCCTGCTCCAGAATGGTCTTTTCTGATAAAACTCACAAGCTTTGCATTCCCACAAGCTCTGCTGCTAGAAGAGTGAATCACAAGAACATTGTATGCTGGGGGTGGTTGCTGTGTGTGTCTGTGTTGATATGTCTGTATTCTAATGAGCATCCAGTTTTAGACTAGTGTACAATTATTTAACTCGGAGGTATGTGTCCACAAAGCTGCTTTTGTCATTTCACTAGTCAATGGGTTTTGCTTGTAAGAGTTAGGGGGTTGATTTGACCTGAGGCCTCTTAAAAGAATTTTTTTTTAACATTCCAAGTTTATTTAATAGATGTGCTATGAAGAGAATAGAAGAGTGAATTTTTTTTTTAATTCACAGACAATTTTTATTTTGTAGAATGAGTTGAGAGCCAATGGTGGTGAAATCAAAACTCATAAATTGGAGCAAAAGGAGAATGTGCCCCCAGGTCCTGAGGTCTGCATCTCCCATCAGGATGGAGAAAAGGTGGGTTGAAAAGTCTGATGTCCAGTTGCCATGGAAGCATGTGTTCTAAATTAGATGTCTAAAATTAGAAACAACTCTAACTCTAGGCTGTAGAGTGTCTGGGAATTTGGTAACAGCTGCCAGGACAGATTGTCATTTTGCAGGTCACATAATTTCGGTTGGGGAGCTTTGCAGCTTATAGCTGACCAAATAATGAACCTTCACTGGAAAATTCTTTTGCTCAGCATATGCTCAGAGGGCGTAGAGCTAAAGTGATTTTTAAAAATCTGTTTTAATTAGAGATATTATCTTCAAAGTATTTGTATATTCTTAATTTAACACATTTTATGCAAGAATATTTCATTCTTTCACTCAAAGTATTTTGAAAGCTAGGCACTATGCTAAGCACAGGAAACGGCTAAGCTTAAAAACTAAACATGAACAAAGCATTCCATGTGGTCTTTATCTGCAGGGAAGCTAACAGAGTAGAGGGTGATGAGTAGCAGGTTGGTTATCATAAAACAGTGTCACGAGTGCTGTGAGAGGGCTGTGCAGGGCCATGGAAGCTCAGACGAAGGACACTTAACCTGACTTCCTCAAGAAGGTGATGTCTGAGCCAAGTCTTGAAGAATGTGTGGAAATAGGCCAAGTGAATAAGGGGAAGACTGAGTAAAGGAAAAGAAGGGCATTCCAGGCAGACACAACAAAGGTTTGGAAACCAGAGATCCAAACCAAGATGGCTTGGCTGAAGCATGAGGTACATATAGGCAATAGTGAGAGACAGGTGGAAGGGGAGGCCAGGGTGGGTCTGAAAAGCTTTGTATGCCACCCTTAAGAGTTTAGATGGGGGAGCCGGCCCCGTGGCTTAGTGGTTAAGTGCGTGTGCTCCGCTACTGGCTGCCCGGGTTCGGATCCCGGGCGCGTACTGACGCACCGCTTCTCCGGCCATGGTGAGGCCACGTCCCACATACAGCAACTAGAAGGATGTGCAACTATGACATACAACTATCTGCTGGGGCTTTGGGGAAAAAAAGGAGGA